AATATTATCTTGCACAAATAGTGTACAAACGTAGAAATAATACAAGTCTAAGTTATCTGAACGATAGACTACAGAAAGCTTCAATTGCTCATTCCAGCAGCACTATCTGCTGCTAATGACACCTGATACATTCTGAAAGAAAAAATAATGCTGAATAGTCCCACTTTTCTTTTCCTTTTACTAAGCTTTAATTTACTAGGACATCCTGGCACTGCTGGAAACTTGTCAAATTTGAAAAATAATTTTTTGAGTAACCTTGTTTCCCTTCTTTTGGTCAGAAATACTTCTGAATGTGAGTTGCTACTGAACATCCTTTCTATTAACTAAAAAGTACCATTGAATCACAGAATGGTTTGGGTTGGAAAGGGCCTTTAGATCATCTACTTCCAACCGCCCTGCCATGACCAGGGACGCCTCACACTAGACCATGTCACCCAAGGCTCTGTTCAACCTGGCCTTGAACACTGGCAAGGATGGAGCATTTACTTCTTTGGGCAACCTGTTCCAATGCCTCATCACCCTCACTGTAAAGAACTTTTTCCTTGTATATAACCTGAACTTCCCACTTGTCCTTCCCACAAGTTTAAACCCAGTTGTCCTATCACTACAGTTCCTGACACAGAGTCCCTCTCCAGCATCCTTGTAGGTTCCCTTCAGATATTGGAAAGCTGCTCTGAGGTCTTCACACTGCTTCTCTGCTCCATCCCCCTTATTACCCTCATGGCCTTCTTCTGGGCTTTCTCCAACAGGTCCATGTCCTTCTTATGTTGAGGACACAGAACTGTGCACAGTGCTCCAAGTGGGGTCTCACGAGAGCAGAGTAGAGGGGTAGGATCACCTCCTTTGACCTGCTGGTCACGCTTCTTTTGGTGCAGTCCGGGACATGGTTGGTTTCTGGTCTATGAGTGCACATTGAAGCTGGTTCATGTTCGGTTTCTCATCAACCAGCACCCCCAAGTCCTTCTCCACAGGGCTGCTCTGAATTACCTGTTGGATTGCCCTGACCCAGGTTTAGGACCTTGCACTTCGCATGAGGTTGGCATCGGCCCACCTCACAAAGCGTGTCAAGGTCCCTCTGGATGACATCCCTTCCCTCCAGCGTATCAACTGAGCCACACAGCTTGGTGTCATCAGCAAACTTGCTGAGCGCGTGCTCACTCCCACTGTCCATGTCGCCAACAAAGATTTTGAACAGGATCAGTCCCAACATCGACCCCTGGGGGACACCACTTGTTACCCATCTCCAGTTGGACATTGAGCAACTGTCTGTGTGTGGCCATCCAGCCAATTCTTTATCCACCGAGTGGTCCATCCGTCAAATTTATGTCTCTCTATTTAAGAGACAAGGATGTCATGCGGGACAGTGTCACTTTGCACAAGTCCAGGTAGACTATGTGAACTGCTTTGCCCCTATCCATGAGTTCTGTAGCCTCATCATAGAATGCCACCAAATTGGTCAGGCAGGATTTCCCCTTAGTGAAACCATGCTGGCTGTCACCAACCATCCCATTTTTCATGAGCCTTAGCGTGCTTTCCAGGAGAATCTGCTCCACGATCCTGCCAAGCACAGAGGTGAGACTGACTGGTCTGTAGTTCTTCCTACTGACTGGTCTTCCATTTTCCCCTTCTTGAAAATGGGGGTTATATTTCCCTTCTTCCACTCATCAGGAGCTTCACCTGACAGCCATGATTTTTCAAATATGACGGACAGTGGCTTAGCAACTTCATTTGCCAGCTCCTTCAGGACCCGCGGATGGATTTCATCAGGTCCCATGGACTTGTGCACTTTCAGGTCCTTAAGGTAATCTCAAACCTGATCCTTTCCTACAGTGGGTCTAAGGTCTTCATTTTCACAGCCCTGCATCTGTCTTCCAAGACTTGAGTGGCATGGTCAGAGCATTTGCCAGTGAAGACGGAGGCAAAGAAATCATTGAGAACCTCAGCCTTCTCCAAATCCAGGGTAGCCAGTTCTCCCATTTTCTTGAGAGAGGGCCCACATTATCCCTAGTCTGTATTTGTTAGCAACATACCTATAGAAGCCTTTCCTGTTATGTCTGACATCCCTGGCCAAAATTAGCTTTAGACCATCATGAGCTTTAGATATTTCAGCGTGATTTAAAATATATAACAGACCTTTGGTATAAGTAACCCACACTATTCACTATAAATCTTCCTATGATAGGGTTTTTTACTGCTTCTAGTCATGCCTTTTACCTTTATTATGCAGCACTTAAACTCATTTCAGTAACAATACTATCTTCTGATTACATCTGAAAAGCCACATGCATACAGTTGTTTGTTAGGTTTTTGTTTTGTTGTGTGGGGTTTTTATTTGCTTAAAACCACAAATAGGACAGTAAGAGAGAAGGAATAGAACTTGGTGAACTTAACTATCCTGGCCTACCTGCTTGTTTCGAGTCACTGAGCACACCAGCTGAAACAGAGCAGTCTTAGGTATCAATGAACTTACTTTCTAATGTTATGCTCGCAGTATTATGGCTCAGGATAGGTGAACTGGTGGATAGAGGGGCAGGGAAAAGGAGGAAAACAGTCAAATAGTTCAATTAAGACTGAAATTATACCCCAGGAAAATGAGATACAGAAGCAGACTGCTGCCAAGGTTTCCTCCATCTGGACAGACCTTGCAGAAGCTTTTTAAACCCATTTATCCATTTCTGAATTCAATGACCATGCAGGCTGTTAAAAAAATAATTGTCACATATATATGCAGGTACATGCAAACGCATGGATATATTATAGTTGATGCATTTTTCTCTGTATATTAAAATCAGCAGATCCATCTCCATCAGAGCTGTACAAATACAGTTGATTCTAACATACTATTCTGCAGACATTCTGTCTGCTCTCCAGATTGAGAATTGTTACTGCTGCACTGCAAGACAGTTGATGGTATTTGGAGTTGCCATCGTGTTAAATGTTTCTCCTGTGATCAGCAGCTGCTGATTTAAATGAAAATCTTCAGCCATTTTCTCTCCTGTATATTTTATAGTCATCTCGAATTCATCATAGACAAATGATACCAGGTAAAAAATGGATTGAGTCTAAATGAGCTTTCCATGAACTGATTTCAAGGTCATAGCACACAAGTAGCATATGCTTTCAGTTACTGTAAGGGATAGAACATGTTGAAGACCTTTAATCATCTAAGTTATATTTAGCAACCAGATATACACAGTCAATTCACAGTACTTGCATACTTAAATGCCTGAGCTGAATTTTGTGTCTGGACGATGGTCAGGCCAAAAACTACGACTTCCATCTTTTATGTGTGGGATGATTTACCTTAGCAGTTCTAACAAATGAGTGTAAGACTTAGCTAGGTGAAGGCAAGCCAGAATCAATGGGACTCTAAGGTGCTTGGCACTTGTAAAAGATTTTGAGAATTTAAATCTAAAGTTTATCAGTATTAATAATTCTAATTTAATGCATTTTCCTTGTCACTTATGAGTCAATTGCTGATTAAATGTTGTTGAAAAGATGAATTACCATTTTACATGCTTAAAAAGAATGTCGCTAATATGTCTAAGTCTGGATGTGAAATGTAGAACAAGGTGGTTCTAATCCTTCTAATACTGTTGTTATCCAAAACAATTTTATACTGAATTAATTTCCTTGTCAAAAAAGGAGAAGTACTGGGAAACTTAATGATCAACATTTAACCCTCTAACATGTATTGGTATAAAATTTATATTCAAATAACATGGAATTAGTTTGCAGAATGAATCTTCCTTTGGTAGGGTAGCAATGACTTCAAGAAATATCTCATCGCTATTCATCGCAAATTCATTATTTTTTTTCTCCCCTTTGCATTGTAGATATTCATGTTTAAAGCCTGTATAAATGCACGATTTACAGCTATGTTCAGCAGTAGTAGCTACTATCTCTTTTTGACTGACAATGATGAGATTTCTGTCATGCTTTGCCTCTCCTACGGTGCCAATGATGGGATTTTTTTTCCTGGAAATCTTATTACGGAATGTGCTGTCGTGGTCTCAGATGGAACTTTCAATCAAAAAGGCAATCAGAAGGTTATCCTTTTGTGAGTTTTCCTACAAAAGAGCTTTGCAAAACTCTACAGTATATACTATAACTCATAGTCAGAGCTACTTGCCCTAAACATTTTGTGACTATAGACAATAATGTGATCCGTATCTCACAGCACCTTTCTTTGCTCCCAGGATTGGGATGTAGGCTAGAAATTGGGTTAGTCTAAGTTTTGAATCAGACTTTTCCATTTACACTACTATTAGATTTGGCACAGCAATTCAGAACACCCCAGCACTTCGTGCAAGTGATGAGTAAGAATCTGTTTGGTTGTTATCACAATCTGTTACATAAACATGTTTGATTTCATTGAAATCCTCATGACTGCTTCTGTGCTATCTTTAGATGACTTCACTGTTTCGTTTATAGTATTACCAAAATTGCTAGATAAAGTTGTTGGGAGGCTTTTTTTTATTTTCCTTTTTTTTTAATGCAGTGTAACTTAAATGAATTGGATACTTCATTAACTTCAATAAAATCTTTATAATACATATAGAAATGCTGTTAGCATATTAGTTGTCCACAAACTACAGTCATTAAAACCAGCCATGCCACAACTAAAGCAGAGTAAATGTTTCAGGCTTGAAATACAGGCAAAACTGAGAGTAATGCATTAAGACATTTTTGCTTGCAGTACAGAGAGGGGTTTGTCTTTCCTAGCAATACTGTAACAAAAAAAGTGTGAGTTATTTTTTGGCATGGCGCAGTGAATTAGACACACATAACTCCTGTGGTCACAGGCTGCTGTACATCTAATTCTGCAAACACTGTCAAAAATTGTTTTGAATATTATGCTTTTTTATTTTGACTGTATTAAATTAATAAATAAATGATGTTGAAGGAACTACATTCCTCAAAAAACTATGAAGTTATTCAGGCGGATTCCTTTCTGTAGCATCCAGGAAAAACTGGAAAAAAAGCAATAACAAGAAAAGTATTTATAAAAATATATTTCACAAAGTAGGAAACAATACAGGAGTTTCTCTGGATACAATACATGGAGTAAATAAACAAACAATAATATAGCTTCAAAACAAAGTAGAAAATTAAAATGATTTGCATGTAATACGTAGTTTTATTATACAATTGCTACTTCTAAATGGCAAGTTTGCATTACAAATTGAGTATGCTTGCAGCTTCTAGTGTTCTTTCTCTGTGTGCAAGAGCCCTGGTGCATCACTATGAATATTATAGAAAAGAAATGCTAATAACATAAGCAGTAAAATTATGTACACACTGGTTCCTGCTCTAATACAGTGGAGAACTATAAGCATGTTTTTTACTGTACTGTGTTATGTGTGGATTTCTAAAAGTCTATAGTTTAAATATTCACATGAACCAGTTTACTTCCAGCTGTTTGTGCTTGTATTAAAAACACCAGGAACTAGATTTACGATGAAGATATAAAACTGCCAAAAGTTTTCTCTGGGAAAGTTTTATTTCTGCTAGCATTCTCTTAAAATTCGGCTACTGCAAATGGATAGGTAACTGCTTTATCTGGCAACCATTTGTCATTTTTCTTTTCAAAATGTACATGTATTAAACATTCATTATATATAGAAAAAGATCTAACAGATATAATTTAGTTTTCTTCATAATCTTACTCTATAGATTACCAGGCTTAATAAATAAAAGCAGCAATGGACATCAATAAAATATTTATTTCAAAGATTAAACAAATAAATTCAATCTTTAGCAATAAAATCAGCAATTCTTTCATATAAGTACATCCCCTTTAACAGTTGTTTTTTTGTTTTTTTTTGTTTACTTTCAGAAGACGAAACACAGAATTGAACCTTCTTCTATAAAAAGATCCCTTTTTACAGCAAGGTTTTGTAGCCCTGCCTCTGAATCTCTGCACATTAGTAGGATTTATTATCCATCACTGGAATGGATTAAGAACATGTGAATATTTTAAGGCTTGACACAATATTTAAAGATGATATTCAGTCTATGGTTACATGGCCAATGATACTGTATGTACAATGTATGGTCACTGCACAGTAGAAGCCAGTAGGAATTTACAATGCTATTTCTATTCAGCATTGCTTTGAAAACCAAGATATTGCTTGTAACATTTCTGTGGTGGGATCTTTGTTGGCAATGCAGAAACAAACCATTAGCTTTACACATACTGGCAGGAGCTACTGTTCAACAGCAAAATCCCTGCAAGTCCATTTTCTAAGAAAGCACCGATTGCTTTTTGTTCTTTTCAATTCACTGAAGATAATCAAAGATCAAAATCCCCATATTTAGAGTGGTCAAGTGAATATCAAATATCCAAAGACTTATAGACACTCCACATACTTTACTTCACACTCCACAAGACTTAACCTCCTAACATATACTTTTTTTTTTTTTTTGGTTCAACATTACAATGTAATTGATTTTATAGATGATTGGCGCTAAACTTGCCTCTAAAACAAAAAGCCACATTAGTTTTAACTAACAGCAGTGGCCCTAGAATATTACATGATCATTAAGTCAACAGTGAAAAAGTTTGTTATCCCCTGTCAAGTTTCTTTGTCACTTTCTCCAACTGAGTAAAGTTCTCCAAGTCTTTTAAAGCGAGGACCCCATTCACTGAGGTAGTCAAAATTCTGATCTGAGTCTGATGTAGAGGACTCCAATGAGCTAAGGGAACCAGCCGCTGACCCTCTTCCTTCATAGCCATAAATCTGGATAGAGTCATATGGTGGAGCTGTGGGATCATTATCGGCTTCATGAAGCCTTACATTAATAAATTCATCCACATCAACACCATTAGGAACAGGTGCAAGACCCTGCCTGGGCATAAACTGAAGATCAGGTTTAATATCCTTACGAGGCAAAAATCCATTAATTCCATCCGGATTTTGCAAAGTCGCAATGTCAAAAGCCTCTGTATCTTCTTCTCCACCTCCTTCATCATCATACCGAATAATATTTTCCCTCACATCTTCATCATCTTTAATGATTAGAGGCTCATTCTTATGTCTTCTTAGTGTTACAAACAGCACTACAATGACTGTAAAGAGAGCATCACAGGCTGGTTAGGGAAGAAATATCAATCAAAGCACTACATGTTAAGTGCACTTATGGAAGGTGATAGGTTGTTTTTTGTGAAAATAAGAGTCATAAGGGTATTGAAAAGCTGAAAAACCTATAACTTCACCCCTATTTGAGTGATGAAGATTTGATGAGAAACTCTGGTTAGCCCTCTAGTTTTCTCTTACCAGCTTACATCTGAAGCTCAATTTTATGTAAAAGGTAAGATTTCACAAGCTTCCATTTTTGAGCCTCATATTTGGATGACAACTTCTCCCTTTGGAAAAGTTACAAACCTAGGTGAAGTAAAGCTATCATCATTCACTGAATATAGTCTATAATGATCTACTTTACGGATGGAGTTTTCCAAAATCAGAGGGTGTTTTTCTGAAAACATAGCCCTGATGCCAGCAGGAAATCAGTGTCTTTTTTACATGTTGCAACAGACTCACATTATTTAACTGAAAAGAGAATGAGACAGTAAGGGAGAAAGAAAGAGCTTAGATACATCAGTTTCAGTATCATGGACAGATGCATAAAAATCTCTGAATTGGTTACACTGTTGTTTTTGCAGTTTTATGCTGAAATCTCAGTCACTGATGTAAATCTCAGCTACAAAATGAAGCTGCAAAGCACAGAAATAGGTCTCTTCCTTCACTGTTCTTTCCCTCACTTGATGTTGTATACAAATTTTTTATGTTTTATTAAAATATACAGTGTTTCTTATATTGTACAACTGTAATGTCTCTTATGCCATTTCAATCCAGAATAAACTCATGCACATCTTAGAAGATACAACAGATCTATTTTCCATCATGTGCCCAACTGGATTTTCAGATTCGTATTCCATACCTGTTTATTATGTAACTTGTGTGTAATACTACTTGAGATTGGTACTTTGCTTTGTTCCATTCTTAGCACAGTAGAGATGCAGTCCTGACATTAGACTGTATGTCCTTCTGTGTGACATCTTTGCTTACTTCCAGCCACCCAGGAATCAGAAACATTTGGAACACCAGGCTGTGAAATGGATACATACCTAGCAGCAGAATGATGCATGCTAATATTGCAATTAGGGCTCCCATACTTAGTCCAATGGGAAGTACGTATGCTTCAACATTACAGGACTGGACAATACCATCACTGCTGCAACCACAGACTCGAATAGTGAGGGTGCTAGTGCTGCTCATGGGAGGATTCCCACTATCACTGATTATGATTGGCAGTAGATATACTTCTTGCTTCTGACGGCTGAATCCACTATGCTTTGCCATTATGCTGAGGGTATTATCTGTAAAAGGGAAAATTTGCATTGTTTCACCATATAGAATAACTCATAAAACCATGGCTTTTTCTTGATGAATTCAGAAAACATGTACACAAACACAAATGCACTTTGTTATACTCATTATACCAGCAGCATGTGACATACAAATCCTTCCCTTTTCTGTCTGGCTGCCCGTGCCCCAGAAACATATGTGTTTCCTTGTATCCTGTGGTAACCCCTCACTTTCTTCGCTGCATGCATCCTTATATATGTCCTCCCATCATGATTCATCACTGTTTCAAATCACACAGTCATAAAAACTCAACCAGTACAACAAAGATAGAAATTAAATGGTAACATAACCTAAACTTAATAAAGCATATCCACCATTTAAAACAAATGTTCCATGTATTATAAATACAAACTGTGCAATATTTTGTCCTGCTATATTCTTCTTTTTAATAATAAGCAATATAAAGACAAACAAATGAAAAGCTGAATGAGTTAAAAGTTGTAGCCCTTATTTATGGTAATCAACATTTACTGGGCCTCAGTGATGAAAATACAACAAACCAAACCAGACCAAATGTGTCTCCTCTGAAGGCAGTGAGAGGAAATGAGTACAGGACATTCTTACCTCTGCACGCGTATGCAGGTACTGAATTTTACAAACATATAGAGGCGTCTGACTACATGGCATCCTACCCAGACATAAAGTTACACAGTTAAACCTCTTACAGTCACTCAGTTCGCAGTTCACCATCAAAATGATTACAAGTTGGTTATACTTAGAGTAATCATATAGATTCTATTGTGTACAATTGTAAGAATTACGGATTCTAGACATTTAACAACATACTGCTGTCAGCTATTAATGATCTTGTATGTGCCAGACTGCTCAGATATAAACCATGATTAGTGAGCATGTCAAATATGCAAAACACTTTATTTACATACTTAAATATTCACTTTAGCTTTTACCTGCTTTATTCTGTGGAATAAAAAAAGGATTAATTCAGTATTATGATTTATATACTAACGGAGTGCATGTTGACTTGTACTAGTTTGTTTTTTGTGTTCTTTCATCAAAAATAACACCACAAATTAATGCAAAGATTCAAGTGCATGCAGAATAGGAACACATGTGTGTGTTACTGAGGGATCTGATGACAATTTACAAACCAAGCTGCAGATCATATCTGGGAGGAGATTGTCACTCCTTTCATTAACCTCTCTTCTCCTGTGCTACCAAAGTTAATTCTCTTAAGGTACCATGAACAAAAGTAAGCCTCTTTGTATTTCATGCTATAAAATGGGCACATGGAATCACTAAATGCCATTCCATGGAAGGAAAGAAATTACTGAGAATTATGTGGCAGGTGTGTAGAAGAGAAGACTTGGAAGACCCGCAGAGTTCATACGACAGATGACACAAAGACCCAATTCTGGAGTTTAAAACAAAAAAAGGAGCCTGAAGTACATGATAACGTGTATGCATACACGTAGAATGACTTGAAGAAAGCTTTGCATCTACTTTGATCTTGGTACTGGTCACTCACTTGAAAACATGAAATAGTTTAGAAACATTTAATTTGTACTAACTGTGATCACTGGGAACATCTCTTACAGCCCATGGTAATTGTGCAGCATTTATCACTGCCCCAACATAAAAGACATATGTATGCTCAAAATAGCTGGCATTCCATGTAGTACGAAAGCCTGGGAAAGGTGCAGAGCAGGAAAAAGGGGAAAACATTTATGAAGCAAACATTGTAAAGACATTTTTTACATCCAAAAATAAATCAACTTTAAATGCAGTATAAGTCCTTGTTAGTAAAGAGGTAAATCAGTAAGGAATAAAGGTAATTATAGAATATATTGATTACAGAATGAAACATTTCTGAACTTTGTCATGTCCTGAGTCTATGTCAAGATTTCAATCAGTAGATAACTTCTACAGTTAATTCACTGCTGCCAAAAAATGGAAGATGAAGAAAGACTATTTGGTATTTAAACACATGGGTAATTGTCTCATACAAGAGAAAGAAAGAAGGCTTGTTTTCCCATTCAGTGACTAAGAAACTGAACTTCAGGTAGGCTCCTTCTGGAGTTCAGGGTCTTTGATTTTGCAGTCTATTGTGGTATCATCTACCAATCACTCTTATGCAACCTAGAGAGGTTCTTACTATAATTAATGTTGCAGATTATGTAATCATTTTAGCATTTTTTCATAGAAGATCAATCTAAAATTAACTGCTTTATAAAGCATTATAAATATGGTCACTTTGTAACACCTTTGCAGAAAAAAATGGATTCCAAATGATTTTTTTCCAGGAGTTTTTATCTATTCAAGGTGGAAACAGTCACATCAAAACTGATGGCACCTTGGAGCTAAATAAATAGTCTAGTCCTTCCCTGTGCCCTTTTTAAAATTAAAGGAAGCAGATGTGTTTACTGAAGATAAAGTTCAGCTGTAAGTTCTTAAGAATTCTGACAACTCAAATAGGATCAAACTCCTTGACGATACCCAGTGTCATATGTGCTACTGTGATGCAGTGGAAAAAGTCAAGTATGTTTTAAGTCAACAATTAGCACATATTTAGAATTAACCAAAAACTGCACTAATTCTTGGCTCAATGTGTCAGAGATTTAAGCACACACATGTACAAATTAAACCGCTTCCAGTGTCACACTTGCTTTCTACCTGAGCTGAAAGGAACAAAGAGAAAGGTTATGTTAGTAAAATTATATTGTAGCTAAGTTTTCCTGAATATCGGTGTGTGTAACTTTGGTAAAGTAAGAGTGATGACCACACCTACTGGAATGCCCAAATGTGCATTTTTTTATCTGATAGCATTTTTTCCCTCCTCTGTACCTCCCTTCTCCCCATTTTCAAATAAAGAAAAATAAATTTATTTGTCCATTTCAATTTCTCCTGCAAAATTAAAAATATTTCAGCATAAGTTGCATCCTTAATCCTTTTGCTTCAACCTTTCAAAGGAGAAAAATTTATGTGGGGCTCAATTTCCATCTCTTTCTTTCTGAGACAAATCGCACTCAGAAGTGCCACATCTGTAGTCATTTATTCAGAACTCCAGAGACTTTTACAGTTATATTACACAGTGACTTCTTGTGCTCTAGAAATTTGAATTGATATAGCCTGTTCCTTCCTATAAGTCTGGTACAGTCCTTCTCTGTCCAAGCTGGAGGAAAGGAGTGATAGGCTGAGCCCCAGCATCCCTGCCCTTTACAGACATGCAAGAGATAAGGCACCTGCTTTAGGAAGAAATTAAAGAAAAAAGGAAACTGCTCTTGTTGGGAAAAGCTTCAGATCCTTCCATCTCTTTGACATGCCCACTGCTGCTCTGCATGGTTCAGAAAATTCTAGTAAACCAGCATCAGAGAGTAAAACAAAGTAGAAAAAGAATAGTATAAAGAGACAAATAGAAGAGGGGAGAAAAAAACAAAAGGAAAGAGGAGAGATGGAGGAAATAAACTGCTAATTTCTGCAAATCAATGAAGCTATGCTGAACATAAGAAACTACCTGGTACCAGTAATGGTTATTAATTCAAGTTCAAAACAAATGAGGTAGATAAAGTAAAAGATACACAGATATTTGGGACATTTACCTGAACTATTTAAGTGTAAAGGAAGTTGTAATGGCTGAACAGGTATTACTGTGTAAGAAGAGATGAAAGACAAGGAGAGAACTTTCTCTTTTTTACACAGATTTTTCTTTTTTCCCCTAAAAACTGCTGTGTTAGACTAATGTTTAATTTGTTGTGCCCAGAAAGAAACTGTCAATCAGAAGCAGTTAATAGCAAAAGCAAAATGAAATGACCAAATTGTTTTGCCAATGGATGGCAAGTATTCGATTTTGCCTTGGGAACTTTGTTCAGCAGCAAAGTCCTTCCCTTTCTTTGCTATGTGCTAACATAAACATACCTTGGTAGAGATGTGACTCGAGTGAAGAACAATGACTTTCTCATTGATGTTTTAGTTGTTTCCTAGGACTTGAAAATAAATCCTAGCAGCTGATTAGCAATAAACTCAACTTATCTGATTTTCTTTCTCCTCTCTGTGGACATTCCCTTTTCCTGTAGCTGACAGAACAGCAG